TGTGAGCAAGGCAATTTGCAGAGATGTGCAATAAAGAAAATAGTGTGGCCAACAAAACCAGAGTGAGATTACTTGAATAGTTGTGCTAAAACACACACACACAACAACATCTGAATAACCCTTGGGTAGGCTGAGGGAGCCAGGACAAAAGGACCCACCACAAACACCAATCTAGAGAAGAGGGCTTAGTTGTTGTTCCATCATCCCCTCTCTCCTCCACAAGATCTCAATTACAAAGATCTCATGGATCACAAGATTCCATGAGATCTGCTGAGGAGCTTTCCGTTCAGGTTAAGCACACCGATGTGTTGAAAGTGTTGTCAAAGCTGTACGATTGCCTTGCGCCGGAGCAGGACAATCGCGTGGGAAATCAATTCTCAAGCCCTCCAAACTGACCCAGAAGGTGCACCAGAGCACAGTCACTTTCACTCTCGGGCAACTGTTGCAAGGGCTAATTACTGAGTGGCCTTTCTGTCCAGAGGCCTTTTGTTTTGCAACATACACAAAGGACAGCTGAAATGTGCAGCAATGCTTTGATGTTTGTTTCTTGGGTATTTTCCGTACAGATAAGCTAAGCCAGGAGTATGTTATCAAGGGTGTGGATCAAGGCAGGTCAAGCCTTGGGAAATATGAAGTTGCCATCTCCATTATCTATGCCTTTTTTTAAAAAATAAAGAACACATTCCAAAGGAGTTTGTCCCTTCAGATGCAAAAATGTACCGGTGGTCAATTGGCCTGAGATATTTTGCAGGCAGAGCAGCACGCAACATGCACCCAAATTAAGGTGCTAGCCAGAAATAGTGCAAATTGAGTCCACTTTTAGGGTTAGGGTTAGTACTAGGGAATCATGGGAATTGTTTTTTTCCTGAGACATTGAGACTTCTCTGCCAGAGAGCTCTGGTGCCACAATAAAACACAGGTCCCATGATTCCCTAACCCTAAAAGTGGACTCAATTTGCACTATTTCTGGCAGTCTGCAACCCCCCTAGTTATTTTGGCATATGGCAGAAACTCCATAAACAACTTTCCCAAACCCTGTGGATAAAAATACAATGATGGCAAAAGACATTGCTGCTAATAATTTGCTGCCTGGGGCAGCTTCCTCAGTACCTAATGGTGGCGGCTGGATCTTTTAATGCTGCACCAAAACCAGCTTTTGCATTCTGAGATCTTGTGGATGTTCTTGTGGAATCTTGTGATCCACGAGATCTTTGTAATTGAAATCTTTTGGATGTTTATACCGTTAGCATGGACAAGGCTCCAGTCAGGTTCAGTTCTTGATATCTCCAGTGAAAGGAGAGGATCTCTGTTCCTACAGAAAAACAAAACAAAACCAGGACCAAATTCAATTGAAGAAGTCACATTTATATTGTTAGTAAATGGTGATAATAAATGACTGTAAAACTACTTTCCGTTCGGGTTAAGCACACTTTTTTTCTATTTAAATCCCATTTCTGTACTGGATTTTCCCTGTGTGATAAACTGCTAAAATGTCTTTGAATTCCACCACTTTGTTCTGAAGTTTGTTCTTGTTTTGTTCACACTCTCTGAGCCTTGAGTCATGTAAATTATAAGGAGAGAGAGGATTATACAAGGTTATCTAGATAATGCACTTTGAGCATTGTATGGGGCTGTTCACTGTCATCTTAGCTGTATATTATTACTAATAGGGAATTTTATATACCCACTACAACCTATTTCATTTATACTATGAGAATCTAGCCATGGAAACCCACTGGGGGGTGTTTCCCTTGGGCGAGTCACACTCTCTCAGCCTGTCACACTCTCTCAGCCTCGAACCTAGATTCCCCAGAGTCCTAGTCCAACACTGAAGCCACTCCCCCCTCGCTGGTAGAAGTCTATTTATGGAGGAATGTCCTCATTCTGACCACCCCTCGCCCCCAATGGTACACTCCTAAATGGGGCTCAGGGTTCAAAAGTGCGACAACATTCCCTCCTTCCTTCTTCCCTCCCTTCCTCGCCCAACTGAGGGAGGCTTCCCCGCTCTGACAGGGAACAAAGGCCGCTCTCCTCAGGCCCCGCCCCCGGCTCCTCAGGCGCCAGCGATTGGCCCGCCGTTTGCCTACGCTCCATCGGACCACCTCGTGACTCCTCCCCTCGCGCCGCCTGATTGGCTGGAGGAGGGCAAGGCGCGCGAGGGGGGAGGGGGAAGGAAATATGAGGAGAATATGTGAGGAATTTCTAAACGTCCCTCAGAGAGAGGCCTAGCCAAGGAGGGAGGGGATGATGGGCCTTGTTCTCTTGCTTAAAGGGGCCCCAGAGGGAGATAAGGGGAGAGCAGGAGCTGCATCTTTCTGTGTGCCTTTAAGGCACGCCTTATCACTGGGGTTTCTTGGCAAGATTTGTTCAGAGAGGGGTTTGCCGTGGCCTTCCTTTGAGGCTGAGAGAGTGTGACTCGCCCAAGGTCACCCAGTGGGTTTAATGGCCGAGCTGAGAATCGAATCTTGGTCTCCAGAGTCATAGTCATAGCTGAAGCCACAACACCTTTTCCTTCCCCCTGAGGCTGAGAGAGTGTGACTCACACAAAGGTCACCCAATATCTTTAAATGTTTAAACCAGTGGATTTCCATGGCTGGGAAGGGATTTGAACCCTGGTCTCCAGAGTCATAGTCCAATGCTCAAACCATAAGACCTTTGCCTCCCCCTGAAGCTGAGAGAGTGTGACTCACACAAAGGTCACCCAGTGGGTTTTGTGGCCTAGTGGGGAATTTGAACCCTGGCCTCCAAAGTCATAGTCCAACATTCAAGCCACTAAACCACCCTGACTCTAAAGTTTCCTCAATCTAGAAATTTGGGGAATGAATGAAAAACTATTTCAGAGAAGAATCCCTATTTAGGAGGGCAATGCCCTCATACAGTTTTGTTGTTGTGTGCCTTCAAGTGTGTGAGACTTATGGCAACCCTAAGGGAAAACCCCATCCTGGGGAATTTCTTGGCCAAATTTGTTCATACGGGGGGGTATGCCTTTGCCTTCCTCTGAGGCTGAGAGAGTGTGACTTGTGCAAAGGTCACCCAGTGCATTTTCATATTGTTACTGGGTGCCCATTCTCCCAATTAAAATGTTAATGAATGGAGGCTTCTCTGCTACATAGTGAACCCTGATATTCAGGTTATGTTGAAAGTGATTTAGAAATTAAGATCAATACAGAACAGTGAAACATTTAAAGATACTAAAATCTTCTTTTTCCACAACAGATGAGCGGGAGAAGGTGGTGGGACAGAGAGAAGAGTCTTCCAGTGTTTCTCTTTTTTAGGACAAAGGATTGTAAAGATCAAATGTACATACATTATGCACACCTTTTGCATAACTCAGTAGGTAGGATTTGGTTGGTTAATTGAATATATACACTCAATAGTATCTACACTGACAAGTTGAATAGTACCCAAATAATTGAACAGATAACGTTCAGTTATCGAATTAACATGTCAGTAAATCCCATTGATTCAATGAGTCTTCTCTCTTCAGCGCTAACAGCAAGATTTAGGCCATTAAATTCCCACTACAAAATAAATCTTTTTTTTTTTTTAGTCGAAGTGATGAAGCCATTTAGCACCAAATAAACTGTTCACACTATTTGAGTTGTGATGGGACCTTCCTGCTTCAGTTTAATCCACTTCCCATTCACATTCAGCAATGGGGTGACCACGCAACAGGAACCGAATCAAAATCCTCCAAAGAAGGAGATTCAAAAATGCTTTGAGGGAGCGTCTTCCACTTTTTGGGTCCCCCCCCCAATTTAAAACCCCATTTCTGCACAGGATTTCCCCCATGTGATAAAGTTCATAGAATCATAGAGTTGGAAGAGACCCCAAGGGCCATCCAGTCCAACCCCCTGCCATGCAGGAACTCCCAATCAAAGCAACCCTGACAGATGGCCATCCAGCCTCTGTTTAAAGACCTCCAAAGAAGGAGACTCCACCATCCCCTGAGAAAGTCTATTCCACTGTCAAAGAGCCCTTACTGTCAGGAAGTTCCTCCTAATGTTGAGTGGAATCTCTTTTCCTGGAGCTTACATCCATTGTTCTGGGTCCTATTCTCAGGAGCAGCAGAAAACATGCTCAATATGACTCCCCTTCAAATACTTAAACAGGGCTATCATATCACCTCTTAACCGTCTCTTCTCCAGGCTAAACATACCTAGTTCCCTAAGTCTCTCCTCATAGGGCTTTATGGTTTCCAGACCCTTCACCATTTTAGTTGCCCTCCTTTGGACACGCTCCAGTTTCTCAACATCCTTCTTGAATTATGGTGTCCAGAACTGGACACAGTATTATTCCAGGTGACACATTTTATTGCATTATCTTCATGGACTTAAAATAATTTCCAGTTACCTTTTGTGAGATAAACATCATTGCCTTCGTTTTCATTTCTTTTTAAAAAGCTCTTCCAACTTTTTATGGGATTTGGTGCCGGACAGAAATACCATATACTATTAGGTCTAATTTGGCCTGTTGGGTCAGAAAGGCTGGGACTGGAAGTTTACTGGAACCATCTCTGGAATAACCTGTTGTGTGGCACTGTTTAGTCCACAGCTTCCTGCCATAAAATATCAAACAAAACTTTTTGCACATATGACTTAGCTAGTCCTGGGTACCAAATTAGACAAGGGGTAGAGGAGGAACAGTACACACTCAGCAAAACCAGCAACATCCTGTTCCTCTGTTTACAAACAGAGATTGGGAAAGTTACAGCTTCAAGGAGATCAGGATGCGAGATGACACTGAATTTTTTGAACCATCTGAGGAATGTCGAGAGAGAGAGAGAGAGAGAGGCAAACTAGTTCAAGATCTGGATGATGTGGAATTGCAAGATATATTGCCAGAGGATGGGAAGGAAAAGGAAGAAGATTTTCTAGTACCAGGTTGACCAGACTCTCTATCCTACACCTTGCTGTCCATAATATCCTATCTCAAATGCATTGATTTTCTTCCTATCTTCCTTAACTGTTCAGCTCTCACATCCCTACATGGTAATAAGGAATACAATGGCTTGTATGATTCTAACTTTTGTGCTCAGTTGTACTTTAGGATCTTTTCTAGTTCTTTCATGGGCCTTTGCAGACTGCCAGAAATAGTGCACATTAAATTGAGGCACTGCCTTGGCTCAGTGCTAGGGAATCATGGGAACTGTAGTTTATTGAGGCACCAGAGCTCTCTCACAGAGAAGGCTCAATGTCCCAGAAAAAAATACAATTCCCATGACTCCCTAGCACTGAGCCAGGGCAGTGCCTCAATTTAATGTGCACTATTTCTGGCAGTCTGCAAAGGCCCATAGCCGCTCTCTCCATTCTTAGCATTTTAGGATTTCTTGACTGTAGTCTGATCAATGTTTGACCCCAGATATGTATGAGAGGTACAGCATATACTATTTTACTACTTCTGTTTCTTCATTGTCTAGGATGAATTTGTGTAAATTCTCCATGGTCATTATGTTCAACAGTAAGCCTGCCTTTGCACTTTCTTCCTTGATCATCCTTAGTAGTTGCTCTAGGTCTGTGATGGTTTCCGCTAGTAGTATGGTGTCACTTGATTATCTTAGATTGTTTATATTTCTTCCTCCTATTTTCACTCTTCCTTCTTCTGTGTTCAAGCCTGCTTTTAATATAATATGTTCTGGACTACAGGAACCATAAGAACTGTAGTCCAAAAAGTATATTTCTGCTAAGAGGGCAACCTATGGCATAAAAATCCACACCTGTCTTCTTGAGAGATGCAGCTACACCCAGTGTTTGGCCCTTCTCCGATTTGGCAACTGATGGCCTGCTTCCCACTCCCAAGGTAGGTCTGTCAATTGTCACTTTCATTTCCCAGCCCAGATGCATCTTAAAAATGTCTTGCTCCCTTCATCTCACCATTTTTGCAATGATGACCCAGTAAGTTAGAAGAGCCATTGTTTCACTATTGACAAACGGAGGCATCTTTGGCAACCAGGACATGTTGGCATGCATGAACACTACAATTATCACACTTATCCATATATCATGTATATGCTATACCTCTGCCTCTCAGCTGCCAATAAGATAACCCTGCACAGAAGCATGCAAGCTTTTGAATTACTCAGGACTCCACATCTAGCTATTGAAAGCTAGCCTTTTCCTGTTGCAACAGATGCTGCTTTGCTAATGCTCTGAATCTTTTCTGGAAAGAAAACAATATCCAAGGCAACACTTGGGATGCTTCCAAGTGTGGCTTTTATACAGTTGCCATGCCTAAGTTTACAGAATTTTACAGGGGGTCCAGATAAAACCATCATTCATGTCTAGCACTTCCACCATTTTTGTTTGTTCTCTTCAGAAAATCTTTTAAGAAAGGTGAAATGGAATAAACTGCCCAGTGTGTCTCTGGAAGTATCCTTAGAGAAGTGAAGCATCACTATGAAGCATGGCTTGGATATAAGGTTGCCATATTTCAGTCCTTCATATCTGGACATTTAATTGCATGCATATTATTAATTTGCATCCTGATTATGAAAATTCACCATGTTAATCGTTGCATTTTCCCCCCTACCATTATGTTTCAAGCTCAGTGCCAGTATTACCGGTAAGCTAAGAGCTCTCTTTTTCTTCTTTTCCCTAGAGTGAAGAAAGGAAGGCTTCCAAGCAGCACCAGCAAGTAAAAGGACTCTTTACTCTCTCAAGGCTATTTGGAAGTGAAGTTCCACTGTGCATCCTAGCCCTAGGCTCAAGCCCTTGACACAATCACCCACAATACAAGGCTATCGTTGTTCGCCTCCTTTCCTTTCCTGCCTTCTGGGCATGTTGGGGAAAACAGAGGACGTTATCACACGGGGTCTAAAGCAGTCCCATCCCTGCACCATCCCCGTCCCATTCCGGATCCTTTGCCCCTGTGATCAGACGACATCGCACAAAACCCCGCCCATCCCTGCATCATCCCTGCACCATCCCCATCCCATTCCAGATCCTTTTTTCGTGTGTTCACACGACGTCGCACAAAACCCCGCCCATCCCTGCATCATCCCTGCACTATCCCCGTCCCATTCTGGATCCTCCCGCCCATCCCTGCATCATCCCCGGCGCATTGTGGCATCATCCCCGTTCTTTGCAATTCCTCTTTCAAAGAGGAATTACATCGCGGCGACCAGAATCAATCCAGAACCATTCCGGTATGGTTCTGGATTGATTCCATGCCGCTTTGTTGCCGCTAGTGTGATAACGTCCAGGGAGGGAGTGGAAGAATTAGAATAAGGTAAAGAATAAGGAGGAGAAATAAGGTGGCAATGAACCCTGTGCAATAGCAACTGGAGCCTGCAAGGAGAGAAGCAACTCCCACCCGGCCCAGTCTTCTTGCATGGTTTCTTGCTCCATTGCCACTGCTGCATTTTAACCTACCCATTGTCCTGTGAGGAAGGAGAAATCGGGATTTACTTGAACTGGCCCATCCCGCTGAGACACCTTTTAATCTCTCCAGTCTGGGATTTTCCAGGTTTTCCAGGAGAAATGCCAATCCTACTTGAATTGTCCTTTACAGTTTGGACAAAAGTAGCTTGCACATTTATGCTAAACGAAAGAATAGTATGAGGTACCACTTCTTAAACAGGTGGTTGTACGCAATAATAAAACTAAATATTTCTAGGGTATATCTGAATAGCCATATAGCTCTTCCCTTTTCTCTGTATATTGAAACAAGTCTAACCCTGTTTAAATATTTGAAGGGATACTGAGGATGGAGCTTGCTTGTCTCCTGCTGCTCCAGAAATAGGACCCAGAACAACGGATGCAAGCTACAGGAAAAGAGATTCCACCTCA